AAAAATTTCAATTATTAAAAGTAAAAAGATAAATTATTAAAATTTTATATAAATATAATGTTTAAAAATTATGTTCGTAAATGGATCCTATCTCTATAAAATATTATATATATATTTAGTTTGAACTTTGAAGATGAAAAGGAAATAAAAAGATCAATAATGAATCTTCATAGTTCAGACATTTATGATTCACTAATGATATATTGATCTTTTCTCAACTTGAACAAATATTTTTAAATGATAGTGGAGACGATCATGTATACAAGTGTAACTGAGGCCAAATACTAGCTGAGCAGAACGAGTTCAGCTCCATAAATTCACATTCATGGATCTGCAGTTAGTGGGCATTTATGATTTTTTGGTTAAAACTTGGAACAAAGCTAGAAAATCAATTCTTTCTGATATTGGGAGAAGATCAACTCCTAGTCCTAATGATCATGGCAATTTGCAACATTTAGAAAAAGGAAACACACAGTTTCATGGTAGATGATTGTTTTTTTTTTCTTTTTTCTTTTTTTAATAAAAAATATCCATGATTAATTTATAGGTCATAATTTTGTCCTTAAATTTTGACATTTTCTTTTTGTTTTCCCCTAAATGGATGAGTGTCTCGTGCATAGTTACAAAATCGACTCTGTTAAATAGAAGAGACGATGGACTAGTTCTCAGATACAGGGGAGAAGCAGGATTCCACTAGTATGTTAAGAATATGAAGCAAAAAAAATATTAAAAGAGCTTAACCTATGTTAATTATTCTATTACATATTGATAAGATCTGATAATAATAAATTTTAATTTTTCTATTATTTAGAATAAATTTGCGTAGCCAAACAAGAAGAATGACTAACCTCCCCTTCACTTTCCTCCCCTTTTCCTCCAACTCCAATCCAAACTCACCTAGAAGGATCAAATGTGAGTTGATGAAAAAGAAAAAAAACAAAAGTTGAGAAACCAAAATGGCCATAAAAGTAGTTGAAGGACTAAAGTGCTGAAGTTTTAAAGATACAGGGACTTTTAGTCCAATTATTTAATTATTCATCCCTATCAAATGTAGGGAAATTGCGCATGAGGACATAGCCCCTCAAATTACAATTCCGGGGGTTGGAAATACGACTGTTCCTCCGCCTCCCTCCACATCGGAATCAGAGTTCGGAAGAAATGGCAAGCGGCGGGAAAGTGTCGTTCAAAGTCACTCTCACCTCCGATCCTAAGCTCCCGTTCAAAGTGTTAGTCTGCACCTAATTATCTTTCTTCGCTATATTTTTTTTTTCAATTTTTTTTTTTTATCTTTCCGACTCAACCTCTCGGGAATTCCAGGTTTAGCGTACCGGAAGCGGCTCCATTCACCGCTGTCTTGAAATTCGCGGCGGAGGAATTCAAAGTCCCTCCTCAAACCAGCGCAATCATCACCAACGGTGAGTTACCGGTTCTCTTTTCTTTTCATCAATTCAATCAAGGGTTTGCTTTTAAATGTTCGTAGTTTTTAATCTCTTCTACTTCTATGGACCGTGGTATTAGCTATCAATCCTGAATCTGTAGCAGTGCAGATGAAATTTTGGAATTTTTAGGTGAAATTCAACTTAATAGTATTGAATTTAGAATGGGTTCCCATAGAAGAGATCTTGAGATCTCTCATTAAATTTCGATTTCTTTTTTCTTTTATTTTCTTTTTTTTTTTTTGTAATTTATCACTTGTTGAATTGTTTGCTCAAATTTTTATGCAGATGGCGTTGGAATCAATCCCCAGCAAAGTGCAGGTGCGGAAACACTTTCTTTCTGTTTATCACTTAAATTTGAAGACCCATGTTTGCATTTTGAAGTGACTAGCATTTTGATACAAATTGGTTTTTAGTTTTATGTTTCAAATTCAATTTTACAATGAATCCTAGCTACTGTTTTTATTTCTATATTCCACTTCCACTTTCCCGACATCATTCTCATACTTTGGATATCAGGTTATTAATTCATGTTTCTACTTTAGTAAGGACTTTCATCCCTATCACTTAATTTCTAACCTCTAGTGACATTGAGATTCCAATTCCACCCATATTCTGGTGTGTTAGCTGCATTATGTTTTTCTCTTCTAAGTTAAATTTAAGCAACATAGTGTCTGTTAATGAATGCGCTTTCTCGATTTCTTACACACAGAAACTTGTTCTATTCTTTCATCCTTGCCGGGTGCATTATTGATTTATTAGGTTTTGGTGTATATTAAAACACCTAACCCTGTTCTTTAATTGTTTCTGAGTTGCAATGTAGCTGGGATTAGTCTGTACAGTCAGATAATTTTTTCACTGCTGGTAGATAACATCAGAATAAACAGCATACAAGAACAGAAACTGCACTATTTATTTTTCCATCAGTACAAGTTGATAGGTTGATCATACTCTTGTTTTACCCTGTGTCCTTAATGAAGTTTGTTTTTCTTTGCATAACAAGAACCTGATACCACGCCCTCTTCAATCAAGCCATGTTCATAACTAGTTTAACATAATGGCAAAACTGCTGCTAAATGCTAATGCTAATGTGTTGTTAGAACAATGCATAAATTGTAATTGTTGTATTTACTTTGATCTGTCTCTCGCAGGAAATGTCTTCCTCAAACATGGCTCTGAACTTCGCCTGATTCCACGTGACAGGGTAGGAGCCTCCTGAATGGTTTGTGCCATCCAGTCATGGATCCATTTTATGTAGTTGGGTTGTAAGTTTCTTCTAGATTGAAGGGGCAGCTTATTAGCATAAATTTTAAAAGTTGATAGACAATACTCTTATCTTTATTTTATTTTGGACTCACCGGCTGGTAGCAAATGAATAAAACGCAGAATTATGTGAATGGTGGTGGTGCTGGCCTAAAAACCCAAAAATTTATGTTTTTACTTTAAGTGGAAAAACTTATGAGTTTTCTATTTTGTGAATATGATGTGCACCGAACAGCAAAATAGAAGGTTATTAGATGAGGGCAATGCAGATGATTTCCAATATCAGGCTTCTCCCATTCAGTGGTTTTGAAAACGGGTTGTTTGTTTTGATTTTTTATAAATAATTATTAATTATTAATTTTTATCAAATAAGTTAAATATTGTAAAATTTAAAATTATTATTATTATTTGTCATAATATTAACTATTAATTGTATAAAAAAAAATTAGTCTAAACAACCCCCATGTTCTCTAGAGATTTAGATAGATATTCATTTCGATTTGACAGGAATGCCTTCCAAGAGTGATCAAACATAAACACTATTCAACGACAACATAAACACTATTCAACGATAGGTTTATTTATTTTTTATATTAATTATACATGAAAGTGAATTTTTTTT